AGCAAAAAAATCAGAGAACTTAATATGTATACTCAATAATGGTCTGCACGAATCTCAGGACAATATAACGGTCCAAGATTAGAGGTCTAGAAAGTCATTTTTCTTCTCTTTAAAGCAATGCTAAATATATAATTTTTTATTTTTTTATTTTATTTACCCCTCTTATCTTCTATAAATAGGAGGGTCATATGATGTATGAAAAACCTTTGACTTCCCTCACTTGTAATGAACTGTTTCATAGAATAGAATGGTCCGAGGGCCCCGGATACACCCCATTCTCCCCAACCACCACCACACCTCCCCTCCTGACAGCAACAACGTTCGTGAGGGATGCAAAAAAAATCTAACACCCGGCAGCGACAAGTTGCATGAGTAGCTCCGTGAGAGTTGCAAAAAAAATCTAACACCCAGCAACAACAAACGTCGTGAAATGTGCAAAAAATATAACACTCAACAGCAAAGAACTCCGGGAGAGATACAAAAAATCTAACACCTGTCAGTGACAAACTCAACAAGGAGGGCTGAACACTAAGACTCCACCACTGGGCAAACAACTCTAGGACATCTCTAGAGCGAACTAATTTAAGACTCCAACCCGGGGCAAACAGCTCCAAGACACCACTCCGGGGCAAACAACTCCATGACATAACTCCGGGGCAAACGACCCTAGGACTCGACTCCGAGGCGAGCAATTCTAGAACTCTTCCCCAGGACAGACAAACAAACAAAGAACTTCAACGACCGATCATCTCCTCTGACGGCCGACCTTTTCCTCCGACCGGCCACCAGAATCCGACGACACCCTCTACAGAAAAAACTCCATAAAGATAAATCTAGCAAATAATAATAAGATACCATAACTGAGCGCGAAAAGTGCCTAGTAGGGAGTATCATTAACAAATTATGAGTTCAAGATTTGCTTGATTTATAAATTTTCTTGTTTTTATTGCGGATGTCACTATCAAGGAGCAAGAAAATCAGAAAACTTGATATGTATACTCAAAAATGATCTGCACGAATCTCAAGGCAATCTAACGGTCCAAGATCACGGGACTAGAATGTCATTTGTTCTTCTATTTAAAGCAATGCTAAATATGTAATTTTTTTATTCAAATGATCACGATTGTCCTCTAATCAAATCGAGTCGCGAATGACTTATCGATCGCCTCAGTTCATTTGAAATATTTAGAGCAAACATAGAATGTCATTTGTTCTTCTATTTAAAGCAATGCTAGATATGTAATTTTTTTAATCAAATGATCAGGATTGTCCTCTAATCAAATCAAGTCGCGAATGACTTATCAATCGCCTCTGTTCATTTGAAATATTTAGAGCAAACACCAAGACTGTAAGGAGAAAAACTAGCATCTAAGCAACATAAGGGTATATAATAACTGCAATTTATTGAAAGAAAACTATAACAATGATAAAAAAGTAAACTTCAAGAAATAGTTCATAAACAAAAACATCTGGCAATGAATTAGTACAAGGAGAACTAGCTGGAAGAACAATTCTTAATAAACCATAGAAAGATTTTCATTCATACCACTCCATTCTTATGTATTTACATATCTAACACCAAAAATTCATTTGTTACATACATGCCACTTATGCATGAAAAGCGTATTTCGCACTCTTAAAGTTAAAATAGTGATATTTTTATGTGAAATGAAAATTTTGAGTGATATAAATGTGAAAAAAGAAAGCTTAAGTTTAGGTATGTAAATAACACACCCCTAACATACCCTAAACAAACAAACAAAAAACTAAACTTGATTTTATTCAAAGTCCATGATTTTCATGTAATTTAACATCATAATATTATTTTTATATACTTAAATAATTCACATATCACTTTTAAACTTTCCAAGCAAGCCAACAGAAGACGACAGGAAAGCACTAATGAAAGCTTCCTTCCTCTTTAAGACGCATTATTACTCCGAAGCTCACACGCCATAAATCCCAAGTTGTTTGAACGCTCATTGCTACCCAACAAAAACTAGAAAACTTGAACCACACATAAACGTAAGGCTGTCAAAAAAAATTCTTTGTTCGCGAACAGCTCTTGTTCTGCTCGTTAAGTAGCTCGTGTTCGGTTTGTTCGTTAAGTATGCCAGCCGAACACGAACAAAATTTTATTTCTCGAATTATAAACGAGCCGAACACGAATAGCTCTTCGTTCGCTCGTGTTCGGCTCGTTTTAACTCGAAATAAAAAAATTTATATAACTTTTTATATAACAATATATTGCATATATTATTTATATAATAATATATTATATATATTTATGTCTAAATTTAAATCATAACACCTAATGTGACAATGTGGTTTGTCTTCTTTTATATATGTTTAATCTAGGTTCGAATCTCACACATTACATCTATTTTTTTCAATTCAAGTTTAACGAGTCAATTTCAAGCCGAACACGAACACGAATATTTAAATTGAGTCAAACACGAACACACTGTTGACGAGCCGATTTTGAATATGAGCCGATTTCGAACACGAGCTATTTCGAACGAGCCGAACATGAGCCAAGCCTCAGATCGCTCAAGACCGCCCAGAGGGAATCCACTGCTCAATAGTATCGTCACCAATGGAAAGCAGAGCTTGTCCAACTCGATTAAATGTCTGATCAGATATATTAATACTTCTACTAATATGTAAGAACTTGTATTATTAAGTAACTCATAATGTAAAATTTTTCATTAATTGATATAATATTATATTAATATCAAATATATAATAAAATTATATATATATATATATATATATATATATATATACGAGCTATCATCGAGATTAATATTAAATATTTAATAAGTTATTTATTGAACAACAAATAAGTTTGTTAGTAAATATAGATGACCAAGTTCAATTGTGTTCATGTTTAATTCATTTAGCCTTCAAACTTTTAAAAAATATTTAAGTTTAATTATTTACTAATTTAAATAAATGATTGAATCATAATCAAACCGAGTTCGAGTTGTTCACCAAGTATATTGGTTCATTTACAACTCTTATCGCAAGTGATACAAAAGATCTTTTCATATTTTTAAGAACTCAAGCGAACTTATTATCATATGATCTCAAAAATGTGTAAAGCGACAAGGGGAAGCAAAGATTTCCCAAGTCCATTAAGCATTTGGTTGGGTATTATACCACTGAAAAAGCAAAAAAAAAAAGTATTGCTATAAGCTTAAGATTTAACCCTTAAGTCAACCTAAACACACATAATTTTTTCAGATTCAAAATCTTTAAAATTAGATTAAATACTTCAAAACTTATTTTAAAGGCTTTGTGGATTTTGATTTTAGCAAACTTATGATTAATATGATGTAAATTGATGAGATGAATAATTTTGATTTTATTTAACCCCATGAGTCAACCAAAATAAATTGGATTGGCTCCACCTAATCTAAGGAATTCACCACTCTTTTGTGACAACTTGTGGCATTCATATAAGTGGTGATGACAGCGTGCGGTTCAAACTCAACATATCAAGATCAACAGCTCTCATCAAGATAAACCCGAGTTTGCTTTTATTTTACATCACCAAAAAAAAGCTCCAATGTGCTTGATTTGAGTTGGCTAATGAAAGTTTAGAGATTAAAATTGTTCGAAGCCATTGTCTTCTATAGGAGACAAAACCAAGAGACATGTATTACATTACCCTAAAAAAGCACACTGTTTTATCATCAATTTATAATGGTCCCGGTTTGTTTCATGCATTCTTAATATTATTATGGCCATTAAGAGCCCAATCTATAAATTGTTCCCAATGCTCATGACCCTCAGCAAAGTAAGAAATTCATGTGAAGGTCCTATTATTCCCATCACAGCAAATCATCCACTTTATTGGCAATATTACACTTACAACACCAACATTTGACCATAGATGCCACTTAACTCCACAAAAAACCAATGTTTGCAAATGTCATTCGTTGTCAATATTAACCAATATTTGCAAATGTCACTCGTCAATATTATCGACCAAGCCTTTTGCCCTCTCACAAATATCATTTAGCATCATCACTCTTTACTACCATTATCTCAAAGATATTTTCCTCCCAACTAAATTCTAAAATTTGCAGCCAAACTCTTTAGACTACTTTTTGCATATAAGTACTCAACATATGCAATTTGTTTAGTTTTTAGCAAGAGCTCGACCCTCGTGTAAATTGCCACAATTTTTAATCACTGTTTCCATACATTTTGAAGAAGTGCAAGGAGTGTAAATCCGATCAGATTGTCTTAAAAGTGGCTTCTTAACACAACATTAGGAAAAAAAATATTATATGCAGATGATTCATACAAATAGATGAAACTCAAAATCTACACTCCTAATCCGCACGTAATATTGCATTGTGTAGAACATTATAATGTTAAATTGGGCTGTGACCCCAACAATCTCTCTCCGCTACAAAATTAAAAACTGGAGCATACAAGACTAGGGGTGTAAACGAACCGAACACGAACACACACGAACGAACAAAGCTTGTGTTCGTGTTCGGTTCGTTTAAAATTTAATTTGTTTGAAATAAGCTCGTGTTCGTTTCTTAACGAACGAGCTGAACACGA